CACTGGTTGCCCAGGGCCATCACTGGTGCCCAGGGCATCACTGGTGCCCAGGGCCATCACTGGTGCCCAAGCCATCACTTTTGCCAGGGAAATCATTTGGTGCCCAGGGGCATCACTGGTGCCAAAGGGCCATATTTTGGTCCAGGGGCCATCACTGGTGCCAGGGCCATCACTGTCCCAGGGGCATCACTGGTGCCCAAGGGCCATCACGGGTGCCCGGGGCCCAAATCATGGTCCCAGGGGCCATCACTGGTGCCCAGGGGCATCATGTCCCAGGGCCATCACTGGTCCAGGAGCAATCTTTGGTGCCCAGGACTATCACTGGTGCCCAGGGGCATCACTGGTGCCAGGCAATCATGGTGCCCAGGGCCATACTGTGCCAGGGGCCATATGGTGCCAGGGGCCATCACTGTGCCCAGGGCCATCACTGGTCCTAGGACCATCACTGGTGCCCGGGACAAATCACTGGTGCCCAGGGGCCATCACTGGTGCCACAGGGGCTATCATGTGCCCAGGGGCCATCACTGGTGCCCAGGGGCTTTCACTGTGCCAGGGCCATCACTGTCCAGGGCCATCACTGGTGCCCAGGGCCATCATGGTGCCGGGGCCATCACTGTGCCCGGGAAGCCATCACTGGTGCCCAGGACTATCACTAGTCCAGGGCCATCACTGGTCCAGGGCTATCAACTGTGCCCAGGGGCCATCACTGGTGCCCAGGGGCTATCACTGTGCCCAGGGCCATCACTGGTGCCCAGGGCTTCACTGTTTGCCCAGGGGCCATACTGGTGCCAGGGGCATCACGGTGCCCGGGGGCCATCACTGGTGCCCAGGGGCCATCACTGGTGCCCAGGAGCCATCACTGGTGCCCAGGGACTATCACTGGTGCCCAGGGGCCATCACTGGTGCCCAGGGGCCATCACTGGTGCCCAGGGGCCATCACTGGTGCCCAGGGGCCATCACTGGTGCCCAGGGGCCATCACTGGTGCCCAGGAGCCATCACTGGTGCCCAGGGACTATCACTGGTGCCCAGGGGCCATCACTGGTGCCCAGGGGCTTTCACTGGGCCAGGGCCATCACGGGTGCCAGGGGCTTTCACTGGTGCTAGGGCCAACACGGGTGCCCGGGGGCCATCACTGGTGGCCCAGGCCATCACGTGCCAGGGGCCATCACTGTTGCCAGGGCCATCACTGGTGCCGGACTTCATAGTCCCCAAGGGCCATCACAGTTGCCCAGGGCTATCACTGGGGGCCCAGGGGCCATCACGGTGCCCAGGGGCTATCACGGGTGCCCAGGGGCCATCACTGGTGCCCAGTCGGCCATCACTGGTGCCCAGGGGCCATCACTGGTTCCCAGGGGCCATCACTGGTGCCCAGGGGCCATCACTGGTGCCCAGAGGCCATCACTGGTGCCCAGGGGCCATCACTGGTGCCCAGGAACTATCACTGGTACCCAGGGGTCATCACTGGGTATTGAACTAGGAAGGTTCTTTTAGTACTAAACATTTTAAGGTTTTTCCAGTAATGTACTAGAAGGTTCTTCTAGTACTGAACTAGGAAGGTTCTTCCAGTACTGTACTGGGAAGGTTTTCCTCTGTACTGGGAGGTTCTTCCAGTACTGTACTAGGAAGGTTCTTCCAGTACTGTACTAGGAAGGTTCTTCCAGTACTGTACTAGGAAGGTTCTTCCAGTACTGTACTAGGAAGGTTCTTCCATTTCTGTACAGGAAGGTTCTTCCATTACTGTACTAGGAAGGTTCTTCCAGTACTGTACTAGGAAGGTTCTTCCCAGTACTTACTAGGAAGGTTTTTCCCAGTACTGTACTAGGAAGGTTCTTCCAGTACTGTACTAGGAAGGTTCTTCCAGTACTGTAATTAGGAAGGTTTTCCCTTCCAGTACGTATAGAAGGTTCTTCAGTACTGTACTGGGAAGGTTCTTCCAGTACTGTACTAGGAAGGTTCTTCCGGGTACTGTACTAGGAAGGTTTCTTCCAGACTGTACTAGGAAGGTTCTTCCAGTACTGAAATTTAGAAGGGTTCTTCCAGTACTGTATGGGAAAGGTTCTTCCAGTACTGTACTAGGAAGGTTCTCCATACTATACTAGGAAGGTTCTTCCAGTACTGTACTAGGAAGGTTCTTCCATTTACTGTACTAGGAAGGTTCTTCCAGTACTGTACTAGGAAGGTTCTTCCAGTACTGTACTAGGAAGGTTCTTCCAGTACTGTACTAGGAAGGTTCTTCCAGTACTGTACTGGGAAGGTTCTTCCAGTACTGTACTAGGAAGGTTCTTCCAGTACTGAACTAGGAAGGTTCTTCCAGTACTGAACTAGGAAGGTTCTTCCAGTACTGAACTAGGAAGGTTCTTCCAGTACTGTACTAGGAAGGTTTTCTATTTTAATCTTCCAGTACGTACTAGGAAGCTCTTCCAGTACTGTAACTAGGAAGGTTCTTCCAGTACTGTACTAGGAAGGTTTCTTCCGTACTGTACTAGGAAGGTTCTTCCAGTACTGTACAGGAAGGTTTTCCAGTACTGTACTAGGAAGGTTCTTTCCAGTACTGTACTAGGAAGGTTCTTCCAGTACTGTACTAGGAAGGTTCTTCTAGAACTGAACTAGGAAGGTTCTTCCATTTGCTGAACTAGGAAGGTTTTTTCCAGTGCTGAACTAGGAAGGTTCTTACAGTACTGTACTAGGAAATTTCTTCCAGTACTGTACTAGGAAGGTTCTTCCAGTACTGTACTAGGAAGGTTCTTCCAGTACTGGCTAGGAAGGTTCTTCCAGTACTGTACTGGGAAAGGTTTTTCCCAGTACTGTACTGGGAAGGTTCTTCCAGTACTGTACTAGGAAGGTTCTTCCAGTACTGTACTAGGAAGGTTTCTTCCAGTACTGTACTGGGAAGGTTCTTCCATTTACTGTAACTAGGAAGGTTCTTCCAGTACTGTACTGGGAAGGGTTCTTCCAGTACTGTGCTAGGAAGGTTCTTCCAGTACTGTACTGGGAAAGGTTCTTCCGGTATTGTACTAGGAAGGGTTTTCTTCCAGTACTGTACTAGGAGGTTCTTCCAGTACTGTATAGGAAAGGGGTTCTTCCAGTCTGTACTAGGAAGGGGTTCTTCCAGTACTGTACTGGGAAGGTTCTTCCAGTACTGTACTGGGAAAGGGTTCTTCCAGTACTGTACTGGGAAGGTTCTTCCAGTACTGTCTAGAAGGTTCTTCCAGTACTGTACTAGGAAGGTTCTTCCAGTACTGTCTGGGAAGGTTGTTCTAGTACTGTACTGGGAAAGGTTTTTCCCAGTACTGTACTAGGAAGGTTCTTCCAGTACTGTCTAGGAAGGTTCTTCCAGTACTGTACTAGGAAGGTTCTTCAGTACTGTACTAGGAAGGTTCTTCCAGTACGTACTGGGAAAGGGTTCTTCCAGTACTGTACTAGGAAGGCTCTTCCAGTACTGTACTGGGAAAGGTTCTTTCAGTACTGTACTAGGAAGGTTCTTCCATATGTACTGGGAAAGGTTCTTCCAGTACTGTACTAGGAAGGTTCTTCCCCAGTACTGTACTAGGAAGGTTCTTCCAGTACTGTACTAGGAAGGCTCTTCCAGTACTGTACTAGGAAGGTTCTTTCAGTACTGTACTAGGAAGGTTCTTCCAGTACTGTACTAGGAAGGTTCTTCCAGTACTGTACTAGGAAGGTTCTTCCAGTACTGTACTAGGAAGGTTCTTCCAGTACTGTACTAGGAAGGTTCTTCCAGTACTGTACTAAGCTGGAGCTCCAAACTGGAGAGACATCAGAAAGTCATAACTCTCAGATCACTGTTTAATAAATGCCTAATACAGAATCAATGATTTTTTTTAGAATTAATTAGTCTGTGATGTAACACAGAATAAACATAATGTAATTTAAATGCATAATTAAGTGTTTGTTGTTTGTATCATCCGAAAGTTATACATTAATTCTTCGTTAATTTTCCCTTCTATGTTTTATGGAATGGTTAATGTTTTCTGTTGTCCAGTTCTCCGAGCTGGAATCTTACGAAGAGAAAGATTCCTTACTTGATTGATTTCTTTATTATTTTTTTTCGTGTGTTAGTAAGACACGATATGCGGTTTGTGGAATCGTATTGGAAATATATTTTGTTCCCCAAGGGCTTTACCAATTCTCATCTGCTATCTGGAAGGTTACTCTGGTGAGCATCTTTCTCTTTTATATAGTTGGGACAGGAAGAGCACAGCTCTTCATCTTCTGTTTCTTGAGGTGGTATAAATAAATGATATGAGATGCCGACGGGTTGTTGGAACAATACTCAAAGCAGAAACACGGACATTTGATTGTTTTGCGACCTTAGTAACTCCAAATGTGCAGTGACCGAGATCTCCCAGGACCAAAATGTTTCCAGTCAGTCAATATCACAGTGTTTGTATGTTGTGTCTGTTTCCAACAGTCAGTGGAGTGTTTCTCGGTGTTAGATGATCCTGTGTTGAAGTACAAGGCCGCAGTTCGATCAGCATCAACAGCCACTACCTCCCTCCTGTCTCTATGCACCGAGAAAAGAGAGGCAGCTGGCTGAGCCTCGTCTGTTACAGTTGAGTCACTCCCAGCAGCTGCCACACTCAGATTCCTGACGCAGCTGAGAGCTGATCTACATGTTTCTTAGGCAGGCACGTCATCCTTTAGCTTACTATCCAACTCAACAGTCAAAAGGGACTGAAGCAGTGATTCCTAGCCTCAGATTGCTGGCCAAGATGGCTGACTAGCGCGCCATCTCTCCCTGAATAAAGTTCACAAACTTAATGTCATGATCGAGACTGGACGCCGCCTCACTCAACATGAGGCATACGTTCAAGGATGAGATGCTGGTTGTTTCCAGAGATGAAGCAAGTCCAGGAAATATGATGCTGCTTCCAGGCACTGTTTAGCACAGAAACACCACCCACAGAAATACCACCTCACTTGATAAGGATGACCATTCTATACTGGATACAGACACAATCCTGGCAATGAGCAAATCTTCTCTTGAAGCGTCTCCTCCGACGCTTGTGAACCCACTAATCACAACGCACCTGGACCATCCCCACAATGCCACTCACCCTCGTACCTTCCTTCTGTCTCTCTTAAGGTCCTGTCTTCCGGAATGGTGATGAGTGTGACTAGATTACCATGGAGAGTAAGAAAAAAGTCCCAGTACCGTGGCTGCAACACACCAGAACCCCGAACTTAAGAGAGATGAACCTTGTGACCACAATGGTTTACACTGAGGTTTACACTGAGGTTTACACTGAGGTTTATACTGAGGTTTACATCCTTCTACTTATGTCCCGGGGGTCGTAAATGTCGCTGAGTAAAAGTTGATAAATTAGACACATGTACAACACTTGGGTATCTTTACTGAGGAAACCTTTCGCCACACAGTGACTTCATCAGTCCAATAGAAAGAAAAATAGTGAAGATCGGAAGGAGAGTGAGGTAATCAGTCCCTCAGCCTGGAGTCGATGTTATCAGTTCATCAGTCTACGCTGAAGAAAGTTAATCGTCGTCAGGTCCGGGTTCAACGCCAGCTCCGGGTTCAACGCCAGCTCCAGGTTCAACGCCAGGTCCGGGTTCAACGCCAGGTCCTGGTTCAACGCCAGGTCCGGATTCAACGCCAGGTCCGGGTTCAACGCCAGGTCCGGGTTCAACGCCAGCTCCAGGTTCAACTCCAGGTCCGGGTTCAACGCCAGGTCCGGGTTCAACGCCAGGTCCGGGTTCAACGCCAGGTCCGGGTTCAACGCCAGGTCCGGGTTCAACGCCAGGTCCGGGTTCAACGCCAGGTCCGGGTTCAACTCCAGGTCCGGGTTCAACGTACCCCTCCACATTATCTGACCCAGTTTCAACTTAAACGAGGCGCCCTTAATATTAATAGTTTGGGAAGATGTTTTGCACGCTGTTGTTCTCTCAATAAATGAGATAAATTGAAGAAAACCACAAGAAGATACCGCAGCTTTCACTGAAGGTTCACTGAAGGTTCACTGAAGGTTCACTCTAATGTATTCCTGGAATATATTGTATATTTTGACTGTTTTATACACCCTTACACTGTACCCCCTCACCCTACCTCCATCTCCCTTCCTCCCTCACCTTTCCTCCGTTTCCCTAACTCCCTCAACCCCTTCTCCATCTCCATTCCTTCCTCACCTTACCTCCATCTACCTCCCACGCCATTTCTTCATTTCCCTTACTCCCTCACCTCTCCTTCATCTTCCTTACTCCCTCACAATTCTTCCATCTCTCCACTCTCCCCTCGAACCTTTCCTTCCATACCTCCCCCCTCCCCACCACATCTTCCATACCTCCCCCTCCCCACCACACCTTCCATACCTCCCCCCTCCCCACCACACCTTCCATACCTCCTCTCCCCATAACCACATCCAAACCTCCCCATGCCCCTTCCCCTCCCCACCTTCCCTCCCCACTTCCACTTCCATACCTCCCCCTCCCCACCATCCCTCCCCTAGTTCAAGCTGTAAGCAACGAACACAGTAGAAAAATCTTTCACATCAGGTTCTAACTAAAACAGTAGTTTGTTATAGTCAGCTTAGTAACTAACTATGAATTATATTGTTAGTAAATGGGCTTCCAGTCTGTGTTATGTGTGTTCCCTTCCATGAGCTATCTTTCTCTCTCTCTCTCTCTCTCTCTCTCTCTCTCTCTCTCTCTCTCTCTCTCTCTCTCCTCTCTCCTCTTCTCTATCATCCACAATTAATCACAAATACAACAGCTTGAGTATAACACTGGGTGTATAAAGTTCTCCACCAGACATTATCACAGTCTCTCACGGAGAGTTATGTATATCTGTATCATACAAGTATATTCTTTGTATTTTATGTATAAAACATACACATGTTTTCCGTTTTGTTTAATAAAAATATACTTTTCTTAAATTTTCATATCCACATGTATGTATGTAAGTATGTATTATTATTATATATATATATATATAATATATATATATATATATATATATATAATATATATATATTATATATATAATATATATATATATATATATATTATATATATATATATATATATAATATATATATATATATTATATATATAATATACAGGTTATCACATGGAGACTATTATCACAATCTCTTCAATAATGAATGACGAATCAGGATATACCGAGCGCCTGACTATTTCAAACTTTCCGTTCAGTAACCTCAGGTTTGAAGTCAAGCTGAAGAGCTTGTCTCTCATTATCTAGGACCAGAATCCTAAAATGCATCAGTACTTTAGGTTTGAAGCCGCTCGAAATTTCCATTATCGAGATCTCGGTGTCGAGGAGTGACGACAGTTGGTTACAGAACACTCAGAATTTTTCGCACTTAAATCAGTATTTCAATTTGGACAGATTGTTCCATGGAAAAAAAAAGTAAACTGAGACCAACACAGACGCAAGTAGATCCAAAATTTTCCCCTAAGTAAGAATTTACCTGCGTCTGAAGTTTAAGTAATTAAGCATGTAAGTTTTATTAAATTAACTTTAAGTTCGTTCTCCCCCCATCCCCAGGATGACTTTAAGTTCGTTCCCCCCCATCACCCCCGGATGACGTAGTAAAGTCAGACTCTGAACTTATGACGTCAGACAGTCTCTAATTACCTCACAGAAGTCAGACTGATGACTTATCCGACTTAACATCACGGCGAAGCTTCCTCGGAGCATCACATATCAATGAAGAGTTTCAAGCTGAACCACACGAGGCATTCTCCAGTTATAGCTCAGAATTCAACAAAATGTGCGCCTACACAGCCTACACAGCCTACACAGTCTACACAGCCTAAACAGCCTACACAGCCTACACAGCCTACACAGCCTACACAGCCTAGAGCCAAGGAATGTTCATTAATTTAATACGATGAGTCAGCATTCAAATTCTATCCAAACTAAGGTTAGATAAGTCCGGTTCCTTGGATCAAGAGCCGCTCACCTCCACCAATAATATTAATAAAAATGAAAATAATAATAAAACAAGAATAATAGTAGACACAATAATAATTAAAATCAATAACAATAAAAATAACAGAAATAAAACAATAAAAAAAAATAATTATTATTAGTAGTAGTAGCAGTAGTAATGCAGTAATTATTATTATTGTTATTATCATTACTATTAGTGTAAACCCACATAATATATAAAATAAGTCTCGTCCTAAGAGACGCTTCAGCAAATTGTTGTGAGACCAGAGAGCAGCATTATGTGTTGGCAACACTGCTGTGACGACCCTCCCACCCTCCATCATGGTCACTACACTGCTGTGGCGACCCTCCCACCCTCCATCATGGTCACTACACTGCTGTGGGACCCTCCCCTCACATGCACAACTGCTGTGGGACTCCACCCTCCATCATGTCATCACTGCTGTGGGACCCTCCCACCCTCCATCATGGTCACTACACTGCTGTGGGCGACCCTCCCACCCTCCATCATGGTCACTACACTGCTGTGGCGACCCTCCCACCCTCCATCATGGTCACTACACTGCTGTGGCGACCCTCCCACCCTCCATCATGGTCACTACACTGCTGTGGGGACCCTCCCACCCTCCATCATGGTCACTACACTGCGTGCGACCCTCCCACCCTCCATCATGGTCACTACACTGCTGTGAGGACCCTCCCACCCTCCATCATGGTACACTACACTGCTGTGGCGGACCCTCCCACCCTCCATCATGGTCACTACACTGCTGTGGCGACCCTCCCACCCTCCATCATGGTCACTACACTGCTGGTGGGACCCTCCCACCCTCCATCATGGTCACTACACTGCGTGACGACCCTCCCACCCATCCATCAGTGGGATCCACTATACAACTGCTGTGACGACCCTCCCACCCTCCATCATGGTCACTACACTGCTGTGGCGACCCTCCCACCCTCCATCATGGTCACTACACTGCTGTGGGGACCCTCCCACCCTCCATCATGGTCACTACACTGCTGTGACGACCCTCCCACCCTCCATCATGGTCACTACACTGCTGTGGGACCCTCCCACCCTCCATCATGGTCACTACACTGCTGTGACGACCCTCCCACCCTCCATCATGGTCACTACACTGCTGTGGCGACCCTCCCACCCTCCATCATGGTCACTACAGTGCTGTGACGACCCTCCCACCCTCCATCATGGTCACTACAGTGCTGTGACGACCCTCCCACCCTCCATCATGGTCACTACAGTGCTGTGGCGACCCTCCCACCCTCCATCATGGTCACTACAGTGCTGTGGCGCCCCCCCCTCCATCATGGTCACTAACACAGTGCTTGTGACGACCCTCCCACCCTCCATCATGGTCACTACACTGCTGTGCGACCCTCCCCACCCTCCATCATGGTCACTACAGTGCTGTGACGACCCTCCCACCCTCCATCATGGTCACTACACTGCTGTGGCGACCCTCCCACCCTCCATCATGGTCACTACAGTGCTGTGACGACCCTCCCACCCTCCATCATGGTCACTACACTGCTGTGGCGACCCTCCCACCCTCCATCATGGTCACTACAGTGCTGTGACGACCCTCCCACCCTCCATCATGGTCACTACAGTGCTGTGACGACCCTCCCACACTCCATCATGGTCACTACAGTGCTGTGACGACCCTCCCACCCTCCATCATGGTCACTACAGTGCTGTGAGACCCTCCCACCCTCCATCATGGTCACTACAGTGCTGTGACGACCCTCCCACCCTCCATCATGGTCACTACAGTGCTGTGGCGACCCTCCCACCCTCCATCATGGTCACTACAGTGCTTTGACGACCCTCCCACCCTCCATCATGGTCACTACAGTGCTGTGACGACCCTCCCACCCTCCATCATGGTCACTACAGTGCTGTGACGACCCTCCCACCCTCCATCATGGTCACTACAGTGCTGTGACGACCCTCCCACCCTCCATCATGGTCACTACAGTGCTGTGACGACCCTCCCACCCTCCATCATGGTCACTACAGTGCTGTGGCGACCCTCCCACCCTCCATCATGGTCACTACAGTGCTGTGGCGACCCTCCCACCCTCCATCATGGTCACTACAGTGCTGTGGCGACCCTCCCACCCTCCATCATGGTCACTACAGTGCTGTGACGACCCTCCCACCCTCCATCATGGTCACTACAGTGCTGTGGCGACCCTCCCACCCTCCATCATGGTCACTACAGTGCTGTGACGACCCTCCCACCCTCCATCATGGTCACTACAGTGCTGTGGCGACCATCCCACCCTCAATCATGGTCACTACAGTGCTGTGGCGACCCTCCCACCCTCCATCATGGTCACTACAGTGCTGTGGCGACCCTCCCACCCTCCATCATGGTCACTACACTGCTGTGGCGACCCTTCCACCCTCCATCATGGTCACTACAGTGCTGTGGCGACCCTCCCACCCTCCATCATGGTCACTACACTGCTGTGGCGACCCTTCCACCCTCCATCATGGTCACTAACACTGCTGTGGCGGACCCTCCACCCTCCTATCATGGTCACTACACTGCTGTGGCGACCTCCCACCCTCCATCATAGGTCACTACAGTGCTGTGGCGACCCTCACCACCCTCCATCATGGTCACTACACTGCTGTGGCGACCCTCCCACCTCCATCACGGTCACTACACTGCTGTGGCGACCCTCCACCCTCCATCATGGTCACTACACTGCTGTGGCGACCCTCCCACCCTCCATCATGGTCACTACACTGCTGTTGGCGACCCTTCCACCCTCCATCATGGTCACTACACTGCTGTGGCGACCCTTCCACCCTCCCTCATGGTCACTACAGTGCTGTGGCGACCCTCCCACCCTCCATCATGGTCACTACACTGCTGTGGCGACCCTCCCACCCTCCATCTGGTCACTACATGCTGTGGGGACTTCCCACCTCCATCATGGTCACTACACTGCTGTGGGGACCCTCCCACCCTCCATCATGGTCATACTACACTGCTGTGGGGACCCTCCCACCCTCCATCATGGTCACTACACTGCTGTGGCGACCCTCCCACCCTCCATCATGGTCACTACACAGCTGTGGGGACCCTGCCACCCTCCATCATGGTCACTACACTGCTGTGGCGACCCTCCCACCCTCCATCATGGTCACTACAGTGCTGTGGACGACCCTACACCACCCTCCATCATGGTCACTACACTGCTGTGGCGACCCTCCCACCCTCCATCATGGTCACTAAGTGCTGTGGCGACCCTCCACCCTCCATCATGGTCAGTAAAGTGCTGTGGGGACACTCCCACCCTCCATCATGGTCACTACACTGCTGTGGCGGCCCTCCCACCCTTCATCATGGTCATTACAGCGCTGTGGGACCCTCCCAATCTCATCATGGTCACTACATGCTGTGGGACCCTCCCCCCTCCATCATGGTCACTACAGTGCTGTGGGGACCCTCCATCATGGTCACTACAGTGCTGTGGGGACGCTCCATCATGGTCACTACAGTGCAGTGGGACCCTCCCACCCTCCATCATGGTCACTACAGTGCTGTGGGGACCCTCCCACCCTCCATCATGGTCACTACTGTGCTGTGGGGACCCTCCCACCCTCCATCATGGTCACTACAGTGCTGTCGGACCCTCCCACCCTCCATCATGGTCACTACAGTGCTGTGGGGACCTCCCACCCTCCATCATGGTCATTACAGTGCTGTGGAGACCCTCCCACCCTCCATCATGGTCAGTTCAGTGCTGGGGGACCCTCCATCATGGTCACTACAGTGTTGTGGGGACCTCCCACCCTCCATCATGGTCACTACAGTGCTGTGGAGACCCTCTTACCCTCCATCATGGTCACTACAGTGCTGTGGGGACCTTTCCACCCTCCATCATGGTCACTACAGTGCTGTGGGGACC